TTAACAAATATAGCAAAAAAAAATGCAACCTCTGATATTGCTACATTTCGGACTGGACTATTAGCAAAGTATACAAAATCAGTGGAAAATGGTGCCTGTCACTGCCAGTCAATAAAATTGAGTGCCAGACGAGGTCAACCAACACCGCCGGGATGGAGAGTGAGAGCGTCCATAATGACAAATTTGCCATCGTTTGTATTTCATATTTGGGTTTGTAAATGGAAGATGTTACTGTAATGGATTTTGGTTATCCATCTTTTTTCCTGTCTGTCTCTCCCAAACCTAATCTCTTGTCATCTATCCATTACTGCATTCTGTTTTTTTTTTTTTTTTTTTTTTTTTTTAAACATAAACACAAATTTGCATTATAATCTTTATTCCCTTCAGATTTGAATAGAAGAAAGTCGGATGACAATGGCAACAAAATCTATTTGCTACGTCATCATTAGCATGACAGGTAAGGTCAATTTTTGTTTCTAAATAAAATGTATTAATTTTTTTTTTTTACTTAACTTGTATTATATCATTCATTTTCTTGTTAATTTATTGTCTATAGCCTTGAATTTACAAATAATATCTCTGATTGGTCACTCACATGGTGACATAATATTGAGCATGCGTGCAGTTACAATTTAATCCCACAATGCCACAGTAAAATCGAAACATGGGATCATTGGGGCAAAGCTAGGCCTAGTTCTTATACTTGAACCCACAATCTCCAGATCACTAGCCTGCCATCATACCTCTAGACCACCGAGCTTGCGCCTGATGGCCAGGGTTTAATTCGAGTCCAAGTAAAGCTGGTTTTCCATGACGCAAATCCAGTTATTGTCTATTATTCCATCACGACAATAACAACTAATATCAAGTATTAAATTATAATAATGTATTATCTCAAAATCCAAATTTCCGACAAGCGACTGATTTAGCTTGACCATGCCATATATGTACACCTAAACTAATGAAGGCATGGAAACAATTCATCAAAACTAATACCTACAAGATGGAGTGTGTATGCGTTACGTTAAAATACGAAAAATGTAACTATCTTGAGGTCGAGTGTTGCGCGCAGCCATAAGAAAAACTTGAGCATGGTTTGAAGATGACACCACATGGATAAATAGTACTGGCCTGTTTAGAACAGTCAATTTTCAATTGTGGTATTATTTTTTTACCGTTACCATTTAATTACCGTTAACTTTCAAAGGGTAGGCAGTGGTTTAGCCTTACCATTTTTTGTTTAACTACCCAGGCAAATTCAGTATAAAATTAAAAATTCATAAATTCAATTAATAAACATTGTTAAATAGTAATCACTGTTCATTAAAAATAACATGTCACTGAATATTGCAATCATCACACATGTAGAGTACTGTACACACCCTATCCACTGGATTTTATTGATCTATTGGTTTTAGTCACAAATTATATGATCATTTCAATAAATAAATGTATTTTCCATTGTTCATTGTTGAGGTGGGGAGTGTATAGAACAAAAGAGAATGGTCATTGGTAGGGGAATGGGAAGATAATGTGACTGACTCTGTCAAAAGCAGCCGTTTGTAGGAAAAAATTAAAATAGAGTTAGTCAAATGTTTATCAGTCAATTACAGCCAGATATTCCTGACATGGAATGGCAAATACCAAGTAAGTAGCTTATTTGATGGAAATCGGTTGGGTATTCGCAGAGTTATGTTTGGTATCGTTGCAAAGCTCTTCCAATGCTGATGTTTTACAATACATTAGAAATGGTGTAGTTTTCCATACTGTTCCGCAAAGTTCAGTTATGGCATACATATTAAAATAAGCAGGACCCAGTTGTGTAACGTGAGCTCTTGCCAGGGAGGTGGAGGGTGGGCTTCTACCACTACCTAGCACTTTACCACGGAGCTTTAACAGTGGCGAAACACAGGTGCTTTCTAGGCCAAATCCCAGTCCAAATGTGCCCCGGAGTGACCGAGGGCCCTTCTTTAACTACTGTACTACCCTACAACGCCTTGGCAATACAGTAACTTTTTCTATAATTTTCAAAAACCAAATAAGAACACTCTTTGGCAGAACTCAAATAAATCCCAAACTTTTTTTTGGTTACAAACGAAAATCTGGGTGGTGTTAGAAAAATGTATTTAGTTTACTTGGCCAAATTTTAAGAACGCTGTATAATGCTATCCCCTTGTTGCTAGGTTGGGTATTCAGTTATAGCAATGGAACAAGGAACATCTCTGCGCTGTCAACGTCTCAGCGTGTAGGTAAACTTTGAACATGAATTTCTCGAAAACATGTTTACAGTTTATCCCAAACGTAGGTATCTTAAACTTCCATAACTTTATAATGAAAGTCGGATTGTAAAAATGTTTTCACCATTGTAAAGGAAATACCAAGTACTAATTAATAATAATGTATTATCTCAAAATCCGAATTTCCGACAAGCGACTGATTTGGCTTGACCATGCCACATATGTACACCTAAACTAATGAAGAAACAAAAACAATTCATCAAAACTAATACCTAGAAGATGGAGTATGTTGTTTATATTTATATATACAAAGATGGGTCATGATCCAGTGAACAATCTGGGTAACGATGCAATGTGCAGAGAAATAAGTCTGTGGGGATATATCATTTTCTTTTCTCATCCTCGTCCTTTAATCATAAATGATATTTTTACAAAAATCCGACGATAGTTTTAATTTTAGTAGAGACAACTGACCTAACAACTTCGCCTGCCGTGCATGTTAATTATCTTATTTTGGGATCATAAGCGAAGATCAGGACTATGCTAAAGATGCTTCAATATAGATGAGAGATAATCTCATCAATATCTCAACTATCTCTTAAAATAGATTCGTAACATTGAGGGTACATTGACATTGGTCATTGTTACATGCTGGCCTAAATATAAAATCAGGTCTAGACTGTGCCAATATTTTTATTTGTTATGTGCGCGCGGCTGGTTACTTGCAGTTTTTAGGCAGAACATCTAGCCCCACAGGTCCTCCATAGAGTTTAATGCCATGTCCTCCGAATCAGATGTGTATATTTGGTTGACTATTAACATTTAGATAAAGAATATAGCTCACCATATTACGCTTTACTTTTGAAGTATTAGTTAAATGTAACTGATCGTCAAAATGCGGTGTCTTTGTTCAATACTAAAAAATTGAGGTCGAGTGCTGCACACAGCCATAAGGAAAACTTGAGCATTGCTTAAAGATGACACCACATGGATAAATAGTACAGGCCTGTTTAGAACCGTCAATTTTCAATTGCGGTATTATTTCTTCTATAACATTTAATTCCCGTGAGTCGCCAGTAAAACTTTCAAAGGGTAGCAGTGGTTTAACCTTACCATTTTTTGTTTGAATACCCAGGTGAAATTCAGTATAAAATTACGTGTTTCACATTAAATCCACATACATTCAATCAGTAAATATTGTTTAAATATTAATCGGTGTTCATTAAATAAAAAGACTTGTGACGCATGTACATTACTGTACACACCCTATCCACTAGCTAACCAAGGACCTCCCTGAGTTCACAGGTACCTACTTGCACGCACAGGCGGCGAGAGATTCTACAGTTGGGTTTGCATTGAATGCTTTGCGGCCTCATGATATGCGTGTTATGGGTTATTCTCCTACCTTTACCTCTAAATGTTTAATGATCAAGAGGTTTGTCCCTTAAAGACTCTTTTTTTTTATCTCCAATCACAGAAAACGAAATTATTGATATTATTAAAAGTTTAAAATATAATAAAAGTCCAGGGTCTGATGAAATATCTAATAATGTTGTCAAGTCTGTATCTAATTTAATCTCAAAACCCTTGTGTCACATTTTTAATTTATGTTTTGAAGAAGGCACCTTTCCTGATTATCTTAAAATTGCCAAGGTAGTTCCTATCTTTAAAAAGGGGGATCTTTATTCTTTTACTAATTATAGGCCCATTTCTTTATTACCATGTTTCTCGAAAATTCTTGAACGCCTTATTTATAATAGATTATTTATTTTTTTAAATAAATACAATATTCTTCATAGTCGTCAGTATGGTTTTAGGAAATATTATTCTACAGATTTTGCCCTTATTGATATTTATGATCAAATTACTAAAACTATTAGCAATAATCATTTTACAGCTGGTATTTTTCTTGATCTGAGCAAGGCCTTTGACACTATTGATCATAAAATTCTCTTAAGCAAACTTGAAAGATATGGTGTCAGAGGTCTTGCTCTTGATCTATTTAGGAGCTACCTTGTCTTGATCTATTTAGGAGATCTCAAAACCCTTGTGTCACATTTTTAATTTATGTTTTGAAGAAGGCACCTTTCCTGATTATCTTAAAATTGCCAAGGTAGTTCCTATCTTTAAAAAGGGGGATCTTTATTCTTTTACTAATTATAGGCCCATTTCTTTATTACCATGTTTCTCAAAAATTCTTGAACGCCTTATTTATAATAGATTATTTATTTTTTTAAATAAATACAATATTCTTCATAGTCGTCAGTATGGTTTTAGGAAATATTATTCTACAGATTTTGCCCTTATTGATATTTATGATCAAATTACTAAAGCTATTAGCAATAATCATTTTACAGCTGGTATTTTTCTTGATCTGAGCAAGGCCTTCGACACTATTGATCATAAAATTCTCGTTAAGCAAACTTGAAAGATATGGTGTCAGAGGTCTTGCTCTTGATCTATTCAGGAGCAAAATAATAATTATAATTTTCAAAAACCAAATAGACCAAAATCCCCTAAAGACACTCATTCGCAGATTTACTTGAAGGGGTCCCTCTACAGTAACTATGGCCCACATTTTACTATGGAGATTTGGCCAGTTATGTACGCCTGTGTGCTTTCTGGGGAAACGCTTAGTTTGATAACCAACAATACACTTTTTGTTTTTTTAAGCAAAATATTGCCTAGACTCGGTGTTCTTATTTTTTGCTCAGGCTCAAAATGTTCTTATTTTGTTCTTATTTTTACACACATTTCAAATGTAGAAAATTATTATTGTACAGCAGTATATTACTGTTTTACTGTACTATATCATAAAGGGTATTGTACTGTATACATAGTCACACCTACAGTATTGAACATAAGGTACAGTATAGATAAGATTTGTTAGTTTTTCTACTGTAGTTTTTTTTGTGAATAGAAACCTCAGAAATGATGAATGGTTGATATGATATTGTTGTATTCCGGGTAGAACTTGATTTTTTGACCTTTTGGTTCAAGTGACTTTATTTATTAGTCAATATTTCAGTAAATATGTATAATTCCCTTTCCATTGACAGCAACCACAACCATGTTTAATGTAGTGTCTTGGCCATCTTGAGATTCAAAATGGCAGCTAATGATGTAGATAAAGGAAAGTTATTTGAATTTAGCATGTCACCAAAAATGACAACAATAACAAAAAGTTAGCTAATAAAATTCATTTTGGCACAAAAATCTAGCTGGAGCCCAATTTCCGAAATAGCAAACCATACTATGTCCATCAGTAGGAAATAATTATATTTATTATGAACATTATTTTGTTTCTTCAGTTTTTATCAGCACATGCTTAGCTGTGATAGTAACTGTTGATAACATTGGAGATGTAGTTGAAGGTTCAGAAACGAGAATAATGTGTAACATCGAGCGAAGTAGTTCAAGTAGTACGTCTGTTCCTGGTGTAACCTGGAATAATGTCACAAATGGAGCAAGCGATCCAATAGCACAATATCAGGGTGGAACTGGATTTGTAGATCCTTCATACATTGATAGATTTAGTGTTGAAGGAGACACAACACTAGTGATTGCTAACACCAGACGAAGCGACAGCGGCACATATCAATGTAGTGTGGTTATATTTGACGACCCACCTTCTGCATCTGATGATACCACACTTATTGTTACATGTGAGTCTACCATTGTTTTGTGTGTTTTAAAAGATTATTGGTAAAAGTAAACTATCATGAATACAATTTCTTTATTTTATAATATTTTTTTTATATTTCAAATTTTTGCTTCCTCTGAAATGCATGCTTGTCTTCCAATTAACGAAAACAAATGAAAGATGCCTCAATAATATTTGTAGATTCATTTTTTTTTCTCTTTTGTGGCGAAGTACCACTTTTATTCAACATATTTTCAATATATTTTTAGATTCATCTTAAAATTCATTTTGTAATATATTTGATTAAATATTTTATAGTCACTGATTAGGAAAAACAAATTATGTCATATAAATATAGTAATATTTTTATAACAATTTTACATTATAATTTTTTAAATTTATTTTAGATTTATACAAGCCTGTATTGAGTTCCTTCACTACACCTGTGACTGAGGGTGACACAGTTGAGATGTCATGTTCTGCAGATGCTAATCCATCACCTACTTACACATTTTTAAGGGATGGTGGTGAAGTACAACAACCAGGGGCTTCATCTACATTCAGGATTCAATCAGTGAGTCGTGACAAAGATGGCAGTTATGAGTGCAGGGCCAGTAACAGTGTGGGCACTGAAACAAGTGAAAGTAGAATGCTGGATGTACAATGTAAGTACCGTATTGTCTCTAATAAACACCCCTCTTCTAATAAATGCCCCCTCTGAGGTTTTTTTTTTTCATTTTGCAATGAGTGCCCAATCAATTAACATGGGTATCCAGTCCATAAAAAGGTTGACAAACAAGGAGTAATACCGTACTGTGTGCTGCTTTCATTGATATGAAATGAAATAAATACTACTCAAAAAAACTTACACTAAACGTTTGATGTTTACTGTCTTCACGATCACTAGGCCTAGGCCTATTTTGTGTTTCTCTCATGGTATTTCGTTAGCCTTGTAAAAACAGGGTAATAGTCCAGTCCGAAATGTAGCAATATCAGAGGTTGCATTTTTTTTTGCTATATTTGTTAAAAA